CTTTCTTCCCTAGCTGTTTGTAATCTCTTGTTATTTTTTTCAGATTCATTGTTGTGTCATTGGTCCCCACAAGTAGGAGAAGAAAGGGGTAATAATCCGTGGGTTGATTACTTTAGTAAGGTACTCAGTTACATCTTTGCTCCAAGGAGACCATATACCTCCCTAGATTGAGTGCTTGGTCTGCAGACTATAGTTTCTATTCCCCTAAGAATTGAATCTCCTATTATCAATATTAACCTTTTTCCCCCCTAGGGAAGTCTGCAATACATTTCTTCCTGTTGAAGGAATGCTGGGTTGTGCCTCTTTTTTTAGAAACTATTGATGAATGTTCTTTTGAGAGTGTCTGTATATTTTCTTCCAGGGGGAGGCTATGAAAGCGAAAACATGATTTGATACTACACCAAACCTTGATTCACATAACCAGAAATCAGACTCTAAGCTATGATTTCAACTTGATACAAACAAAAGCCAAAAGAAATGTGCAGTGTTTAATCTGGTACAAGCACTGTCTCTCTACTTGTCTTTGGCACATTTTCCTGGACTCATGTGGAGTCACACTTACTTAGAAAAATAACACTTACAGAAGGAGTAGCATAGTTGCATTATTATTTCTTTATAATTTTGTTCTTCAACAAAATTCTCCATTGGTTGAATTCAGAAAAACAACAATCCATTTCTGCATCACAACAAAAAGCTGAAGCAAATTAGTGAAGAATTTTCTCTGAGCAAACGAGTGTCTGTTGTCCTCAGCAAAGTGGAAGGTCCAATTATGCTTCCTCTGCCTAGTCATACCCTCATGAACTTGGCCATAGCTTGTTGTTCTATTGGATCTTTGCCCAAATAAACAAGATCTGAGATCTGAAATATTTTCAGGTAGGTCCCTCCTTTAACTCCTATTTGCCCAAGTTCTCTGTAGGCACTGGAAAAAGTAATATGAACATAAAGCATAGCAGCAGCATTTCATTTCAGCTTAGCAATGTTACCTATATTTTCCAATGTTATTGATATCTGCTAGGTGGCAGTCTGTCATTTGCTTTGTGTAATGTTCGAAGAGAGGCATTCTCCAAACTCGATCCCCCCGTCAGAATGCTAGCCTGTCAGTGTAGAGAAAAGAATCTATTCAGATATCAAATTTCCATACATTTCTCTACCGTCTTTAGTTTGCTTATAATGGTTGAGCCCAATAGCTAGACTTAAGCTGAAGTAGAGACTATGAAATACAGATATTAAGTTCTAAGTTTCACTCTTCTACCAAAATCCCTTTTTTAAAAAAAAATATATATTGCTTCAGAATAATAAAACAGAACTGATCTCAGGAATTGGCATGGAAAGGTGGGACTGACACTTTCAATTTTCTTCCTAATGACTTTCACAACCAACCTGCCTTTTTCATAGCAATCCCAGATTCGGGCAATATTAAACTATCTGCATCAAGATCCCTACAAGCTCAGGCCTGACAGTGTATCTATGAAGTTATTATTTATTAAATTTATAAATGAAGTTGAGGATTTTGTGCATCATTTTATAGTTGCTTAAACTGAACACTTTTACCCTTCCAATGCTCATTTCTTCTCTTTGAGACATTATCTTGATATTCTTTAATCTTTGCTTTATCCAACTAAATCATTTGTTCTCATTGCAAACTAAGCCACTTCTCATGCCTGCTTTCAGATCATGTCCGACATCCATGCCTGATCAAAGGGTACGACTCTTGAAACTTTCACTTGGCTAAAGAACTTGGTTGCCTATTTCATCTGCCACCTACAGAAAATATGTATCCTGGCTACATAGGTGCTGTATTGACAAGATCAGTCTGACAGTATTTTAGAAATTTATAACATAAATTGTTGAAATAATTAGGAACATCAAAAATACTGTTTTCCATTTTCACAGTTAACAATTAATAAATCCAAACTTAGTTCTCTTCTGTTTTCTGTCTGATAAATATTAGAGGCAGGATCAAATATATTCAGTTGCATTGCTGTGTTGTTTGTTTGTCTCCAGGTGGCTTACTTTAGGTAGCAGAATAGACAGAAGCCTCTAGGAATGTTGAAAACAAGGTGAGAAGATTATCACTAGTTCACAAAAGTATTATCAATTCCAAAGCCAAGGTTTTGTGTTTACAGTAGTGGCCAAAATTGTGGAAACCTTTTGGGAAAAGTGTATTTTCTAAAACTAGCTAATAACACCACCTTTTTTTGGAGTAGTACCATAAAATTATATATCAATGGAAAGATACTTTAGTCAAGAATGTAATGCAATAACTTTTATGAAGGATTTGCTATTAGAATAGCAGTTACAGTATAAAGAACAAAAGTGAAACAGAAAAAACGAGATATACAAAAGTTATCACCATAGAAAAAATGAGATATACAAAAATTATCACGTCAGTTAATATTTAGTTGGGTAACCTTTAGCATGAATTATGGCCTTACAATGTCTTCCCATGGAGTGAACCAAGTCTTTTAGTTCTGCAGCTGTTATAATGTGAAACCAAGATTGAATGATTGCTTCTATTAACTGGGTTTTATTGCTGGGTTGCTTCTGACTAACAAGTTTCTTTAGTCAGCTCCATAGATTTTCAATTGGGTTAAAGTCTGTGTTATTTCCAGGGCATTCCAGCAGTGGAATATGATTATCTTGAAACTCAAAACAGTGGTGTTATTAGCCATCAAACCTCAAAAGTACACTTTTCCCAAAAGGTTTCCACAATTTTGGCCACTACTGTAGCTTTCGTAGCCAATAGTCATGACTTGGATTCTCAATAAAAAGGGTTGAATCTTTTCTTAAAAACCCTCTAATTCAGGGGTGTCAAACTGGTGGCCTGCAGGCCAGATGTGTCACACACAGGCCATGCCTACCCTGGCTCTCCAAAGGTAAAAAAGTCATGATACGTCACGATACATCACATGATGAGATCAAGTTTGATACCCATGCTCTAAATCAAAACGTATCTTGAAATCAATTATTAGTAGCATCACTTACCTCATACAGGTGATGCCACAGCTTCTGTGAATTTGTAAAAACTCCAGTAGCTGCTGATCCTAATGCTACATCCATGGCACCTATAAAGTTTATAAAATACAGATTATCCAGCCATTTTTCCATGTCAACTAGCAAATTGCTCATCAGCTAACAATTTATATTCACATTACTAAAAATATCTTTGTTCTTTTATTTGCAAGGTTATAATATATAGAAAATGTTTAAAATTCAATACATTTGTTCTATGTTCTAAGAAAGTGGATCATTTTCCTGCACACCAGCATTACTATCAGATGCACAAGAGATATTGTTATGCAGTTCCACCCCACTTGTTGGAAGTGTCCTATGAAAAGTTTGTTTGATCCATCCAACTCTTTTTTAGTGTTTATTGCCAAGCAAAGATAATTTTATTCAGATGGTTTTCCATTTACTTTTGATGTTTCAACCTTTTTATTATCTGCAATATCGGCACCTGTTTTTGTTTTGCTTTGCTTTTAATTGCTTCAATTACTCACAATGAACTGCTTAAGTGCACAACCTTGATGAAAAGCTGAATCTTTATTTAAAATAATCCTCTCCCAGTAATCAGAATAGTGCTATGGTCAACATTATTTTAAACATCAAAGCTTATACTTTTGTATCTGAATATGTAACCTATTCTTCGGGGGGGAGTGGGGGCTCTAAGTAGTAAAAAAGAAAAAAATCCATTATGCTTTAAGACAATACAAATCCTCTCCATGCAATTTGGAGGGTCTGCAAGACATCACATTATTAAAATATTCTGCATAGGAAGGGGCACTTTTCATAGTATTCCTAATATTTTGGGAATATGGAATATAGAAGCTTCAGACAAATAAAAAAGGGCTACCTGTTAATGTTGCAGCATCTAAAATTGCCCTTGGATTAAAACGGTGTGCATAGTGAAGAGCATCAGCCAACACCAATCTTCCCTCTGCATCTGTATTGTCAATCTTTTATGAAGCAATCAGAAAATCAGCAAGAGAAAATTACATAACAGCATGGGTTAAAAAGCTTGCCTATATCATCAATAGCTAATTTTTTTTGGGGGGGGGGGCAATACTACAGTTTAAAACTGTAAAATTTAATGTATTATAACTCTAAACCCGAAGTAAATAAAATTACTATTATCAAATAATGGATACAATAGAATCAAACAAAGCTCAAAAGAATATAATATTTGTGAAAATATTTTATTTGCCACTAAGACATGCCTTTCCACCATTTCCTCTCTGTAGCAGCTACCTCCTGCACCACATTTTGTAGGGTAATCAGGAGGAATCCCCTATCTAGACTGGCAAATATGAAAGACTGCAATTCTTTTATTAGTGCAATGGTATTGCAATCCTGAAAGACTAATGATTAATATAAATAGTCTAAACCAATGTTTTTCAATCTAGGCAGCTTTAAGATATGTGGATACAACTCCCAGAATTTCCCAGCCAGCACAGGACCACATTAGGAGTATGTAATTGTTCTGTTAAATATGAGATTGCTAACATTCCCTCAACTCTGATGACCTTCAACGAGGATTAGAAATGTTAGCAAGGTTGGCCTCTAGGCCTTTCCATGGGGCTTTTGCGAGCAACTGTTGATTCAAAGTTTATTTGTTTAGCTAGAAATTATGTTACTAGATGAAACTTCAGGTCCAACCCAACCTCATGTTATTTTATTAAAACCTGTGCTGAGCAAGCATTTTAAAACATACCTGAATCGTTTTTCCATTCATGGCTGTCACAACATCTCCGGGTTTATTTGCTGTCCCACTGGGCAAGTTTTCACAAAGGGGGGCCAGACCTTAGATATAAAGAATTCCAACTGAATTTATGCATAGAATAACATTATTGGGTATTCTCAAAACTTGAATCAAAAATTCCTCAGCAGTGGTATTGTTTAATTGGTATTTAGTTACCTGATACCAAGACACAATTCCTTTGCTCACCTCTCTCGGCTAGTCCACCCAACTGCACTGGAAACAAGCCACCACCAGAACGGAATAAAGTGGTTGCAATTTCTTTAATCAGGTTCGGCACAGCAAACACAGGCAGGAGAAAGGCACAAGCCGGAAACAAGGTTTAAAGTTAGAGCTACATGCAATTGCAGTGTAGCGCCTTTTATATACGCAGCAATAAATCAATTGGCAATCAAACAGTTAACATCACCCCTCCTTCCCCTAGCTGGCCTGTAGGAGGAGCGCAATAAACCAATTTGCAATCAAACAGTTAACATCACCCCCTCCTTCCCCTAGCTGGCCTGTAGGAGGAACGCAATAAATCAATTTGCAATCAAACAGTCAACATCATCCCTCCTTCCCCTAGCTGGCCTGTAAGAGGAGCGTGCCTCTGTTACATCACAAGGCAGCGTCATCTGCATACTCCACGCCCCCCCCGATCTCCAATGAAAGCGTTTGCTTCGTTTTGTGCGCGAGTGGTAAAGACTTCTCAAACAGCTGATGACACGCCCCTGGAGAGTCCAGCAGCTCGCCCCCTCCTCATCGTCCTCCCCATTGATGGCGAGACCCAACCGAGGCTCGACAGGCGGCTCCTCTCTACCAGGAGTCCACCTGCAGGAAACAAAATAAAGATGTTAGTATAGCAACCGTTCTACCCACTGGGACTTGGTTTATTTGGATATTTACGATGATACCGACGGAGCAACTGGTCGGCATGAATGTCTGGAGCTGCCACCCAAGACGCTTGTGCAAGTGGATAACCCTTCCACCGTACTAAGTACTGTAACCTGCCTCTACGTAGATGTGAATCCAACACTTTATCTATCTCATATTGATCTGAATGACTCGGTCCCGGGGAAACAGTCTGATGTGCGGGTCTTTCCTCCTTGACAGGTTTAAGGAGGCTGCTCTGAAAAACAGGATGTATTTTTCCTAACAGTGAAGGTAGTTTAAGCATGACAGTGACAGGGTTGATCACACGTGTTATAGGAAAAGGACCTATGTATTTGGGACCTAGTTTCCTACTAGATAATCGTAATTTCAAGTATTTGGTTGATAGATACACGTGATCCCCTACAGAAAACGGTTTTGGGTCGGCTCTTTTTTTGTCGACATAAAGTTTGTATTCATTTGCTGCTTTTTGAAGCGCCGTTTTTACCGCTGGCCACGTTTGTCGGATCTTGTCGGCCCAACCGGAATGCGTAGATACACCTGTAGCTGGAGGTTCTACTTCAGGTATGGCAGGGAATTCTCTTCCATAGATGATTTGGAAAGGAGAAAATCCCGTGCTAGGGTGGCTGATGTTATTGTACGCGACTTCAGCGAACGGGAGTAAGGTGGACCAATCAGTTTGCTGATACGAAACGTAGCAACGTAGATATCGTTCCACAGCGGCATTAGCCCGTTCGGCTGCTCCATTTGTACTGGGATGGAAGGCTGAACTTAATCCTTGAGTAGACCCTATCCTATGAATGAAAGACCTCCAAAACTTGGCGGTGAACTGGACACCCTGATCTGATATAATATGCTTCGGGACCCCGTGAAGGCGGTAGATATGTTGTATAAACATGTCTGTTAATCGTCGGGCAGATGGTAAACTCCGACAGGGTATAAAATGCGCCTGCTTTGAAAATAAGTCTACTACTGTCCAAATAACGGTATGTCCATTGCTGGGCGGAAGGTCCACTATAAAATCCATCACCACCTCCTCCCATGGACGACTAGGATCAGCCACCGATTGTAATCGACCGAGTGGTTTCCCTGACCATGGTTTTGCTGCCGCGCATGTTGGGCACGTTTTTACGTAACGTTCAATTTCACCACGCATTCGTGGCCACCAAAATTGACTTCTAATCAGGTGAAGTGTTTTAAGGAAACCATAGTGACCTGCTGGTTTGGCATCATGGCACCGGCGTAAGACTGTAGCCTGAAGCGGTTCTGGAATGTATAAACGATCCCCATTCCACCCTAATCCATCTCGTAGGACTATTGACGTTTGGTTTTGATTTAATCACGTATCCTGGCTGATAGCTATCCGAAGATTCATTAAGAAGGACTCTTCTTTCCGTAACACTGCTGCAACCGCATGCCCACTCTCAATGGGTGGTATAAGAGATTCCACTACTTCCTCGCGCTTACTGTTATATTGTGACACATGAGAAAGTGCATCGGCGAGGAAGTTCTTTCCTGCTGGCACATATTTGAGCCTGAAATTGAATCTTCAGAAATATTGTGCCCAGCGTAGTTGCTTTGGAGACAGACGTCTAGGCGTTTGTAATGCCTCTAAATTTTTATGGTCTGTCCATACTTCAAATGGGATAGTAGCCCCTTCCAGGATGTGACGCCACGTAAGTAGAGCCCAATGGACAGCGAAGGCCTCCTTTTCCCAGATCGCCCACCCTCACTCTGTAGTGTTTAATTTGCGTGATGTATAAGCACAAGGGCGTATCCTATCCTGTTCATCTTTTTGCAGCAACACAGCTCCCACAGCAACATCACTAGCATCGGCTTGAACGATGAATTCACGAGACAGATCAGGGTGTTTAAGTACCGGTTCTCTGGTGAAAAGATATTTCAACTGTTCAAACGCACTTTGACATTGAGCTGTCCATTGCAATAACTGGTTTGGTCTTGGTTTTATCACAGTGGATTTAGTGCGTAACAGGTCTGTTAACGGTAGTGCTATAGCAGCAAATGCGGGGACGAATTGGCGATAGAAATTCGCGAAACCAAGGAAACTTTGGAGTTGTTTCCTGGTTTTCGGCGCTTGCCACTCAACTATAGCTTGGACTTTACGTGGATCCATTTCTATCCCGTCGCTTGAGATCCTATACCCGAGGTAATCTATTTTTGATTTATGGAACTCACATTTCAAGAGTTTTATAAACAGTTTAGCAGCTAACAACTTCTCTAAGACCTGACGGACTAACACGACGTGTTCTTCCAAGGTGCGCGTATATATTAGAATGTCATCTAAATGAACAAGAACTCCTCTATACAAATGTTCATGCAAAACTTCGTTGATAAGCTGCATGAACACCGCTGGAGCGCCTTGAAGTCCAAACGGCATAACTCTATATTGGTAGCTACCAAGAGGGCAGTTGAAAGTGGTCTTCCATTCATCGCCCTGTTTGATATGTACTCGGTAGTACGCTTCCCTTAAATCGAGTTTTGTAAAGACCCGTCCTGTAGATAGCGCAGCTAACAAATCCTTCATAAGCGGAAGGGGGTATAAATGTTCTATACACACTCTGTTCAAACCTCAGAAGTCAACACATAACCGAACCCCGCCGTCCTTCTTCTCCCTGAAGAAAACTGGGGCGGCCATCCTAGATCTACTAGGGACGATGAAACCTCTAGCTAAATTTTTGTCGATATATTGTCGTAACTCGGTTAATTCTTGTTGGGTCATGGAATACATTCGAGGTTTCGGTAACTTAGCCCCAGGCACTAACTTGATAGCTCAATCCGTAGTCCAATGGGGGGGGGGTAGTACTTTGCATTCCTCTTCACTAAATACGGCTGAAAGGTCTTGGTAAACAATAGGAAAGTCCGGTGTATGCGGCACCTCTGTGGAGGCACAGCTATTGTCCTGTCCCTCACTCGACTGTCCCACTGAAGAAGCAGGGGATGGGACAGCAAGTCCCAAAGGGATTCTAAGCTTACAATAACCCCCCTCCCACCAGATGTGAGGCTGCCATTTATCTAACCATGAGACCCAGAATAACTGGTTCTATCATTTTTTCAACCACAATAAACTGGATGGACTCTTGATGTTCACCTATCGCCAACAACAAATGTTCGGTTACGTGGTTAGCAGGCGCCCCCCCCCAATAACAACCCGTCCATCTGTTCGAACTTCACAGGAACTTTTAGCTTTTTTATCTGTAAGCCCAGAGTATCCACCACACTTCTCCGCACCAGACAACAGGTACATCCAGTGTCTATTAAAGCACCATACTGAAAACCCGTTGTGCTTCGGGGATTCCTCAGCACCACAGGTATGACAAAAGGGAACACAGTTTTGCTCACCATAGGGTCCTCTGGCTCGTCGTCATCACTGTTGCCCGATACCACCGGGAATTTCTCCACCACAGTGGTTGGTGTAATATCACGAGCCTGATGGTCTACGATGGACTTTGGTCCTTGAAGTGCTTGTGTACGGTCTTGTGGCTGCCATGGTCGACCTCTGGTCGCTACCCCCATAGCCGGCTTTTGGGTCTGTACTCGTAACGGAGGTACAGGGCATTCAGCCGCTCTGTGTCCTACCTGATTGCAGCGAAAACAACGAAACGCCGGTCGCTGAGACCTTTCAGGTGGGACGACGCTGGGCAGAGGTATTTGAACCCGCATTGTTGGCGGCTTTTCTGAGGCCCTTTCCGTGGGAACCCATCTCTGTCCCACATTAACTTCCGACCGAGGCCTAAACTCCCGGAGGGTAATGTCCAGTTCAATAGCGGCTTTAAACCAAACAGCTAGGCGTGGAGCCAGGCCTCGGTACGCACAGGCTTGACATAACTCATGGTCCAACCCCATCCAAAATTGCTGGACTAGCATCCGTTCGGGCCAGTCCCTTAAACGACTAGCAATTTTCCGGAAATCACGTACATAGTCTTTTGCAGGAACACCCCGCTGTTTGAGGGCCACAAGATCTCCTTCCATGATTTGTACACTGGAGTCATCCTCAAAAGCCGACCGGAGAGCTTCTAAGAACCTACCCACGTCCACCAGTTCTCTAGCATGGTTGCGATGTAATCCCGCCACCCAATCTGCTGCATCGCCAGTTAACACAGCCGTAATGGCTACCACCATGGCCCATTGTGATGGATACCAGCGACCATACTGGTCTAGATGACTGACCACCTAGCTTAAGAATAACGCCACACGGTCTGGGCTCCTGTCAAAGGTGGCTTGCAGTGCAGGAGGGCCCCAGATTGGAGGTGGTGCCCACATCCCAGGAACCGGGATCCATGCTGGGGGTGGTACAGGCGGTCTATTCTCCCCATCTCTCCTTAGGTCTCCAACGGGCCTCCGTTCCCCCACAGGACGTTGTGCCCTCCTTCCAGCTCCTACCTCTCTTCTGTTCGGTGGTTGTTCGGAACCCCTGGTGCTATCCTCCCTCTTAGGCAGGTGGTAGTCCCGGTCTTAGATCTGGCCCTTTCTTTTTCCTGTTTCCTGTTCCCTTCGGAGTTTGGGGCTAGCAATGCGAAACCGAACTTCTGACCTGGAAAGGCCCTCATCCTGCCAAGACATGCCCTATAACAGCTCCGCCCCAGTGGCCCAGGGTTGCCAAGACGGGGCGTCCCAGAAACTTCCTTCTCCAAACCGGTCTCTTATGGCATCCATAGCATTGGGTTCCGGACCTGTAGTATCATAGCCCCAGTCCGCCTCCTCGTTGTCTGTCCTTGTTGTCTCCCGCCAACCTCTAAATGACGGACCCAATGGGGGGGGGTAGGTGGCCATTGGGACTTGGTATGAGTAGAACTTGGCCACCAGCCCCCACCGGAAACCTGTCCTGAAGGGTCTAGCCCTTGACTCTGCGCACCAGCTGTCTCCACACAGTCCTCCTCACGTAGCTGGCGCAACTTGGGTCTGACCACCGGTTGGTGAGGGGTTACGGTTTGTAGCTTCTCCTCTTCCACAACCACCTCCTCCACGTCAGCCTCTCGAGTGGCCTCCAACTCCGAATCACCTAGCGCCGTCCCTTCTGCCATCTCTGACAGCCTTTCTCACTGGACCACAACTAGGGAACATAGGCAGTTGAAATTGGTGGGTGGTGGAGTGCTAACTTTCTCTCGGCTAGTCCACCCAACTGCACTGGAAACAAGCCACCACCAGAACGGAATAAAGTGGTTGCAATTTCTTTAATCAGGTTCGGCACAGCAAACACAGGCAGGAGAAAGGCACACCCGGAAACAAGGTTTAAAGTTAGCGCTACACGCAATCGCAGTGTAGCGCCTTTTATATATGCAGCAATAAATCAATTGGCAATCAAACAGTTAACATCACCCCTCCTTCCCCTAGCTGGCCTGTAGGAGGAGCGCAATAAACCAATTTCCAATCAAAAAGTTAACATCACCCCTTCCTTCCCCTAGCTGGCCTGTAGGAGGAGCGCAATAAATCAATTTGCAATCAAACAGTCAACATCATCCCTCCTTCCCCTAGCTGGCCTGTAGGAGGAGCATGCCTCTGTTACATCACAAGGCAGCATCATCTGCATACTCCACGCCCCCCCCGATCTCCGATGAAAGCGTTTGCTTCATTTTGTGCGCGAGTGGTAAAGACTTCTCAAACAGCTGATGACACGCCCCTGGAGAGTCCAGCAGCTCGCCCCCTCCTCATCATCCTCCCCATTGATGGTGAGACCCAACCGAGGCTCGACACCCACTCAATAAGCAAATTTGTACAAATGCCAGATGAGAGGGTTTATTCCTTACAAAATAGATATCCTTGAAAATTTCTCTCCATCCTGTGTCCTGTTTGGTGTTTGTCAATGTTTCGAAGGAAAAGGGTAAACCCTCACCCAATTTTTTTTTCCTAGAGGAATTAAACCAACTAAAGATTGGGTCAGAGATTGTAAAAAGTTTGAGGGTCCACTGATCCATATGATATGGTCTTGTGAATGTCTGATAGACTTCTAGAATAGTATTTCAATGTACATAAACATTAAGATATTAAAGTGATACTAAATTATATTGTCAGATATGCCTGGCTCAGCTTGGGGAGCCTCATAGGCATCCTGCCATCAAAAGAAAAAAAGGAGAGGGGCGGAAGGATGAGAGGGAGAAAGATGAAAGGGCAATAAAGTTTTGTGTGTACATGATAGGAAATGGGGGAGGGGAGCGGATGACAGGTGACAAGGACCAAAGCAGCCAGATCCTGTTTGTACCAGCATCCCACGGCCAGGTACCCTGAGAAATATGAGGATTACTCCCAAACATCTCAAGAGTACTCAAAACATCATGGCGAGCTCTGGTTGGCTGGAAACAGAGTGTTCGGGGAGGGGGAGGAGGGCAAACCTACACCTTATTTTGCATCCAGCGAGCATGGTGATTTCAGAGCTGGCTTGAATTTACTGCAACCAACACTCTTAGTAAAAGAACACTTTGGTTTAATGGAGTCAAAGGCTTTTCTTTCCTAAGGGATCGGATTGGGGCAGGTCTGACATTAAGCCAGCTCTGCAGTTGTGGTCAACCCAGAGAGGAAACACCCTCTATCATGGGGACCATGCGAACAATGTCAGCTCACGGAAGTGACCAGGAAGAGATCGAAGCCTCGGGGGAAACATCCTCGAAACCCCCTCCTGGAGAGCTAGATCTATCTGGATGGCTGGGAGAGGATGACCTACAAAGACCCCAATGGTCCCTCAGGGTTGAGAAAAAGGAAGAATGGGAAGAGAAACCCATGGGAGTGACATTCACCTGTGGGGGCTGAGGCAGCCGTCCGCGAGAGACCTGAGTGGAGCTGGAGGAAGAATCGAGCACAGATGAGCCAGAGCAAGAGGACTGAATGCTGGAGGAAGCCATAACGTTCCTGAGGGGGGGCTTTTGGTAATCTCAAAGCTCAAGAAGCCCTAGCCTGGGTGGCATATCCCACTGACCAGCCAACTCCAGCCATGACAAGTGAGAGGGCAAGTATCTCTGCCACTGCAAGGGCAGCAGCAGTGAGCTCCTTGGCAACCGCAACCATCCCAGTGCCTAGCCCCACAGCCTAGCCTGAACTGGCTGCAGGAGCAGTGCCAGCAAGGTGAAGAGGATGCAAGACACCAGCCCTGAAAGTAAAGTTCAATGGAGACTCCAAGCATTTGGGGTTCTTCCTAGCACAAATTTGGACATACATGCAAGAATATGGTCTAGAAATAGCTACCGAAGAGGCTAAGGTATGATGTGTGATCATGGCATTAGAGGGGGCCACAGCTGAATGGATGGTCAAACTCCACAACAATGATGCCCTGGAGCTGAGAAACGTTGACTGCTTCATAGCTGTACTTTGGAAGTGCTTGAAAGGTCCTTTAGCTGATTGCAAAGCCAGAGATTGCAACCATCAGCCAAGGGCACAGGGGGATGGCTGGGTGCATCCAGGAGTTTCGGGACCTGGCCTGCCAACTGACTGACTGGCCAGAAGACATCTTAATCAGATGTGATGCATTCTACAACACCTGCATTTCCAGAAGTGCCCCACCCAACCTCCATGGCTGGTATGTCCTAGCAGAGGAAGTGGAAATCCACCTGGATTGATCTAGATACCGGCCAAGCCATGGATGGTGAAGATTCCCCCACCCTTTGAAAAGAAAGAACACATGCGCGTGAGTAGCCCTTGCCGCTGATCCATTAGCTGTTTCTGGTGTGGGAAGGAGGGGCACCGAGCTGCTGACTGCTGATCTGCATGCCCAGCCCAGAAGGCAACTCAGGATCCTGCTCAAAAACCAATGAAACCACAACAGTGAGCCCATGAAACTGTCCTGAAGAGAGTGGAAGTCGTAGAGTCCTCCAAAGAGGGTGAGAGAACTCTGACTGACCCAGTGGGCAGCCCGGTTGAGTCAAACTACGATGATGATCCCTTGGTAAATTGCCTGGTCAACCCAATGACCATCTCGATAGAACTGGTGGTTCAATCCTCGGAGCGAAAAGGGAGCCTAGTAGCCTTACTGGACTTGGGGTGCACCAGATGCCTGATCAACCCTGCCCTGGTCAAGAAACTGGATGTGAGACTCAAACAGCTTAAAGTGCCCATAGTTTTTTGCCAGCTGGATGGCTCAGTAGCAGAGGGGCAGCAACATTTGTTACCGAACCAATAGAGATGAGGATAGGCGCGCGCACAGAGACCATGAGCTTCATCGTAGCCCCTGGAATGGAAAGGAACCTTGTCTTGGCTCCAGAAATGGAAACCCTGTGTGAACTGGAGGAGGGGGCTGCTAAAAATCTGGCTTGCCAGCTATGAAGGGGGAGGGGAAAGGGGCATCAAAAACCTACTTTGAAGCTGCAGCAGGCAAAACTAAAAAGGGAGATTGGAGTAGCCACCAAAAATTAATCCCCTGGTGACTCTTGGATCCCCAAGGAGTATTGGGACTTACTGGATGTCTTCAGTGAATAGGGGTCAGACCCCACCAGCCAACTGACTGTGCCATAGAAATCCTACTGGGGGCCAAACTACCCAAACCTAAACTATATTACATGATCCCTAGGGAATTGGAGGAATTGCAGGCTTTTATAGACAAAAACCTGGATTCATCCAACCCACCAAACCGAGGGTGGCTGCTCCGGTACTATTTAGGGAGAAGAAGGATGGGCCCCTTTGTTTATGTGTTGACTATAATGGACTTAATGTTGTGTGTGTAAAACATTTACTCACTCCCCTTATGAAGGACATGCTGGCCCATTTGGCCAAAGGAAAGGTCTTGGATTTGCAGGAGGCATACTACCGAGTCAGGATCAAAGCAGAGGATGAATGGAAATCAGCTTTCAATTGCCCCCTAGGATGCTTCCAGTTCCAGGTTCTCCCTTTTGGACTACAAGAGGCCCCTGCTGTGTTATGCAGCTAATAAATGAAGTGCTACATGAACACCTGTATAAGGGAATGTTAGTTTACCTGAATGACATTTTAATGTATATTAAGACCATGGCAGAACACATAAAACTAGTTAGAGCTGTACTCAAGAAGCTTTGAGCAGCCAAACTATATGCCAAACTGTCCAAATGTGAATTCCACCAGGGTAAAATCAACTATCTGGGCTACCACATCCCCCACAAGGAGATAGAGATAACCCCAAAAAGGTACGGGCAATTCTAGAATGGGCTCATCCCCACACCCAAAAGCAACTACGAAGTTTCCTGGGATTTATGAACTTTTACCGCCAGTTCATCCCCTCATTTGCCTAGATAGCCCTCCCCATCACCAACTTGATAAAGACAAAAAGAGAAGGGAAACCCAAATCCATCCAGCTGCTTAAATGAACTATGGAATGCCAGGCTGCATTTGAAAAGCTTAAGAGCTTGTTTGCAGCAGAACCGGTGCTAAAACACCCAGACCCCAACATCCCCTTAGTCATTCAGGCTGATGCCAGTGATGTCGCAGTGGGCACAGTGCTTTTACAGGAAAATGAGCAAGGGGTCCTGCAGCCCTATGCCTATGTTTTTAAAAAGCTAAATGAGATGGAGCAGAGGTGGTGAGCCTGGGAGAAGGAAGCCTATATGGTGCACTGGGTGCTCCTAACTTGGAGGCATATTCTAGAACAGTGGTTCTCAACCTTCCTAATGCCGCGACCCATTAATACAGTTCCTCATGTTGTGGTGACCCCCAACCAGGGGTGGATTCTAAATTTTTTTACTATCAGTTCTGTGGGCGTGGCTTATTTTGTGGGCATGGCTTGGAGGTCATGTGACTGGGTGGGCATGGCTAGTTGGTCATGTGACCGGGTGGCCATGGCTATGTGTATAGGAACTACTCAGAGGGCTGAAAAAAGTCATTTCTGACAGATCCTCGCACTTTTGACTGGTCCTCACACTTATGACCATCTTCACATTTATGCCCGTGCAGCATTCTTAACAACCATGTCACTCATTTCACAACTGCTTCTCTTCACCATGGTGATAAGATAGGGCAAAAAACGTAAAATGTGAGGACAGTCGTAAATTCGAGGACTGGTCAAAAGTGCGAGGACCAATCAAAAATAACTTTTTCAGACCTCTGAGTAGTCCATGTGCACAAAAGGACTACCCAGAGGGCTGAAAAAAAGTGATTTCTGACAGGTCCTCGCACTTTTGACCGGTCTTCGCACTTATGACTAGTCATCATGCCCATTGTAGCATTCTTAACAACCGTGTCACTCATTTCACAACTGCTTCTCTTCACCATGGTGACAA